AACACCTACTGTGGGTCCCAGTGAGCAGTGAGATCAGCAGGAATGCCCTGGATGTGGCTGTGAAGTGAGGGCTCACAAGAGAGCAAAGGGCATCCATAGAGGTTGGTGAGAAGGTTTTAGTGTGACATGGGGTGAGGGACTCCATCTCTGGAGTCTCAGTTTCCCCATCTGTCAGCACACATCACAAAGGTTTAATGGAAGATTAAATAAAGCAATGCCTGTAAAATGCTAAGCAGGTGCCTGGTACAGACACAGTAGGTTTCAAGTACACAGAAGCTGTGGCATTCATCCATTCATTCATACACTTATTCACTCGTTCATTCTTCCAGCCCATTTTGAGAACCTGCTGTTGTGTAATTCTATGCACCAAGAAGCAGGCAGAGAAGAATAAATCCTCCCATCACCCAAGCACCTCATGGTCTACTGTTGAAACAGAAACTAGCTCTGTCTACTGGGACCAGGGGAGGGTCCCACAAAGCGTCAGTTCCTGTGTCCCTGGGGGAGATTATAAAAAAGCTGCTCATTTGGAGAAGCACAGACCTCTGGCCCTCAAAGGCTTCTCAGGTTTCCAGGGGCCCCTGAGAAAAGCAACCATCCCTGAGTCTCACCTTAAAGCCTCTGTGAGCTAGTGCTCATGAGATATGTGGGATAGGCATCCAGAAGTGAGGTGAGGTCCCATATGTGGGGTGTGGGTGAGGGTAGGGGGAGCCAGGGAGAGAAGAAGTGGAAAAGAAGCCTTAGCAACAATAACAACAGAACACATTTCCATGTTCAGATGAGGAGACTGGGCACAGGGCATAAGTGCTTTATTTAAGAACACAGATGAGTCCTGGACCAGGAATACCAGCTCCACAGTCTGGCTCTCAGCCATCAAGCCATGAGGAGAGAATGTCTTGAGAAGCTCAGAGGAAACCTTGCCAGCCTGGCACAGGCCTCTGTCTTAATGAGCTGAACTGCAGTGAGGCTGAGGGCCTGTAGTTTTAACTTTCAGCCTGTGCTCCCTGGAGCCATCACAATGTCTGCTGCCCACTGGGTGCTAGGTGGGTGTGTCCAGAGCCATCACGGGTCAGAGGAGAAAACTGCAGTCTTGGTGATGGGGTGGGACATGGTGCCCCTGCAGCCTCTGTCAGAGGCCTTTGGAAGTCTCTCAGAAGGCCTGGTGCTGGGCCCGCCTGGCTACCTCATGGAATCTACTTATTATAATTGTTGGCTGGCTAATGTGGCCCACTGAGTCATTCCCAAATGGGACACAGCAAAATGCAAACCTTCCTGCACACTATGTGATGGCCACTACTTGCTACCTGCCATGAATATCATGGGAATTAAGGGGAGGTGGCCAGGCATCTGGGAGAGTCACCAGTGGAGACCAGATTCTAGATCCTAAGGGCAAAGCCAGTGACTGATCATGAGGCTGGGCAGTGAGAGTGTCTGGCCAAGACTGCCATGCCTCTCTCCAGCAGGATAGGGTCCCTGAGCATCAGGGTTTGGGGTGGACAGGCCACTGCTCTGTGTCAGACTGTCTCAGACACTGCCAGAGCCACAAGGGGAGAAGACATGGACTCAGATGTGTGCAGAAAGCAGATGGAGGGAAGACAAGGCGGGGCTTCTGTCCCTGAACCTCCAAAGAGCAGCTGGTTTCCTCAGGTGCAAGGCCTGCTCGGGAACTCAGGCCACATGCTGCTGACCCCTCCTCCACTGCTGTTCACCCCACTCCCCAAATGACTTCCATGGCTTCTGGTTTTTGATTGCAGCCACCTTCATATTGGGGACCATCTCTAAAGATCCTTTAGGATGGTCCTGGACCATCCACTTAGCATATATCTTTCAAGGGCTGCTGTGGGCTGGGCTCTATGCTGGGGTCCAGGTGCTGGCCACACACTATGAGTGGGAAGATAGTTGGCTAGTCATTTATTCATTCATTCAACAAACTCTTGCTGAGTATCTACAGCGTGGCCTGTACTGTATAGACACTTGAGTGTGTATTATTTTCCCATTTGGACAAAGATCTGGGACTTGAGCCCCTGGGCAGAGACAAACCCTGGCCCCAGCCTATGGCCCCCTGACCTCCTGCTCTGGTGTCTCCCTGCAGTTGTCCTGGGTTACCCAACAGAGCCATGGGTCGGATGTGATCTTGGTGACTGCCAGTGTCACTCCACACCATGGTGTAAATTTATATTATGTAACAAGCTCACACCCCACACATCTGTGAGCCCAGTACACCTGCTGTGAGGTGTATCTGTCCTGTGTGGGGTCCCCGGATGCTGGCCTCTCACAGCCCAGAACAGCCTAGACCTTGTCCCCATTTCATGGCTCCCAAGAAATTGAAAAATGAAGAAATGCTGAACAGGGTCCCAAACAGCACCCTGCACAGCTCAGAGGAAACAGAGAGCGTGATGGCAGGACTAGGGCGGGCTCTGGTCTCCAACACCTCTCCCATCCTGTGTTCAGCAACTCCCTCTCCCCTGCTCCCCTGGCCTGTCCTATATACCAGAAACATGGAACATCAGTGGGAAAAATAGCAACAGAAAGACTCATCAGTTTGCACCAAACTAGCCCCTTCCCTATAACCCACAATTATGCCAGCTGTGTCAAGCGCTCCCATGGTGGAATGAGTCTGATTTCATATCTTGATCAACTCTGCCAAACCTCCTGAAGCCACCTGTCACACTAAAGTGTTTTGGGGGAGACAGATCTCTTACTCTGGTGGCAAAATTCATTTGCAACGATCTCAATTCAGTCCCCCTGTGAAGCCTGGAGCCGAATGAAGCCAGTACCCTGAACAGTTTCTTCCCACTCACTCACCCTTTCGCCTAGCGCCTTGTCCTCCCTCACTTACAAGATAATGCAGCAGACAATCACGCCTGGTGCAATGATAACCATTTGGTTTCTCATGACAGTTTTTCAGAGGAAAATGACAGAGCACATAGCCTTGTCTGTCAGTGGCTGTGAGGGGAAGGAGGAAGCGCCGCTGCCAGTATGGGATTGGTGGACCGACCATGCGGCCTGAGTCTGTGTGCAGAAGGATGTCTGGGAGGATGGTCGCTGTGGAGGCCGGGCTGTGCCCTTTCTCCATCCCTGCTCTCCTCTCTGCATCTCTCCTATGCTCTGTCTCTCCATGTACCTGCCAGAAACTTATCTTGTATTTATGAAGGACTTTTATATGCATTTCATTCATTCATTCATTCATTCATTCATTCATCTCTTTGCTCATTCACTCATTCATGTTATTCAGCTCCAGGTCATTGGGATTTGCTGTGGTTTGTGACCCGTGTGAAGCTCTGGAGTTGCAGAGACCCACAAGACCTGACTTTAATCTTCAAAAATCCAAAAGAATGTGGATAAATAGCCATGACTCTGAATGTTGAAGGTTATGAGAGGCAGGAATGGGACACACAGAAGGTGCATCCATTAGTCAAGATGTGTTGGGTGTCAGGTAGCAGAAAACCCAGCAACAGTAGTTCAAGCAAGTGAGATCATGCACAAAAAAACATCTGGATGGAGATGATTCTGGAGTCAGTCAGTGATGTTAATCCAGGGTCTTTTTCCTTTTTCCTTTTCCTATATTCCTTTAGACTGGTTTTTTCTTTCCCTGTTTCTTATTCCATGTTTGCAAGACAGCTGCCATAGCTCCAGACATCAAGTATTCATACCATAGCCTTCTAGAGAAATAGAATGGGATACCATGGAACAGCAAAGGGGCTTTTTTATTCTGCAATGAGCCCTTTTATTAGGAAAAAATACTTCCTAGAAGCAGCTCTCTTTCACAAGCAGATTTCCCCTCACAACCTAATGGGCAGGTTTGGGTCATGGCCTACCCAAAAAACTTCTGGAGAAGAGGGATGGGTGCCAGGCTCAGCCCAGGGCAAGAGAAGCTCCCTGGTCTGAGCCAAGGTTGGGCCCTAGAGACAGAGAGCCCTGCTCAGAGCCTCAACTACTTCAGGGCCATGTCACTGGGGGACGTCCTTGAGCTGTCTGGGGGTCTGTCCCGCCCATGGGATCAACACCATAACAGCACCTGCCACACAGGGAAGCTGTGAAGGTGACCTGGGGTCCTGCGCAGCTGCCTGTGCATGGGGAGTTAACAGTGTCTACTGCACAGCACTGAGGCCATCTGTGAAATGGGCCACGACACCCGCTCTGTCCTGTCCTGAGCTAAATGGGCAGGACAGTGAGATCGTGTGTGTGACTATTTCCAGCCCGCAATGGGCCCTCCCACCATGCACTCACTTGGTCCTCACCCCAAGATGGAGCTGTTCTCATCCCCACCTCACAGCTGAGAAACTGAGGCCAGGGAGGTGGCCTGGGTCAGGAGGGCAGGTGGGACCCTAGGGTGTCAGATTCCAGCTGCTGGGCACTGGCTCACTGCAGGACCCTGGGTGAAGCTGGCATCAACAGGTACCCGGGAAACCCCTCCTGCTCTGATGACGGTCTCCCTGGTCCAGGTTGGGGGCTGGCTGACCTCTCTGGGCCCTGTTATCCACCCCCACCCTGGTGCTCCAGGGCCCCAGAACCTGCCTGTGGCAGGGGAACGTCACCTTCCTCCCCGGAACCATGAACGGACACATTTCGAGTCACATTCCGTGTCATCAGTGTGGGGTCACTGTGGCCAGGCTGGTGTCCCTGTGTCCTGCTGGTGGACTGCCAGCTCGTGTTCTTTGAGAAGCAGCAGCACTTGGGCAGAATGCAAGCATATGCTAATGGTGGATAATTACACTCCATATTTATAGATGTATCAAAATACACAAGCCCACTTTTCAAAATTACACCCTACAGCTTGTCACAGTTCAGTACCTACCTTGAGGCTCCTTGCCAGCACTGAGATGTGAGCTTGGGCCCCACGTGCAACCTGATCCTGCATCCAGCTTGCTGGGGAGGCCTCAGCCATCACTGCAGCTGCCCCTGCGCAGACCTGCAGCCTTCGCTGCCCTGTCCAGAGGGATGGCCTGCTCATCCCACTTGTGGGGCAGGGATCAGAAAGACAAGACCAGGAGAGCAATATCTCCATTTTACAGGTAGGAAACAGACTTGTCTCCCTGCCAATCACTCACACAGCAGTTTATTGAGTGCCTGCTACATGCTGGGATCCCTTCTATGCCCCGGGGAGGCAGCTGTGAACAAAACCAAGTCTCCACCCTCCAGGAGCTGCATTCTGGTTGGGGAGACAGACAATGCACCAACAAATGCCAGGTAGTGCAGGGCATGCGGAGACACTTCAGTGCTTGGGGATAGAGTGGCAGAGTGGGGAACATGAAGGGGCCAGGAACAGTCACTGATCAGCTGAATGCTATAGCGTGACTGTGTCCCCCCAAAGATCACGTGTGGGAAATAAAATCCTCAAAACAGCAGTGGTGGGAGGTGGGGGTCAGTGGCAGGTGCTCCGGTCAGGAGGTTGCCACCTTCGTGGTGGTGGATTAGTGCCGATTATAAAAGGGCGCGAGGATGCAAGTGTGGGCTCCTGTCCTCTCTCTGTGAGTTACTCTGCCATGTTCTGACACAGCAACGAGGTCTCCCCAGAGGCAGCTCCTGGACCTTGGACTTGTATCATTTATAAGTTACCCAGCCTGTGGCACCCTGAAAAAGCAGCAGAGTAGATTAAGAAAATGACACAAGGACAAATGACTGAAGGAAGTGAAGGCAGAGCTTCGCTGGCTCCAAGGGACAATTTGTACATGGGCTTGGCCTTGGTGGGGGAGGGCAGAGCACCCCTGAGGGAATGTTCCTTCACCCACTCGGGTCCACGTTCCCCTGTAGGGTTCATGCTGTGGCTAAGTGGAACAGAGAAGAGCAGGTGGGTTCCTGTCCTCACAGTTTAGCTGGGGAGACGGTTAAACAATGACAATGGTTCATGGTAGTCAGGGTGCCACAGGGGCTTCGTGGTGCAGGAAGACTTGGAGGAAGTACCTGTGGGTCCAGGCAGGCCTGCATCCCTCCCTGCTCTGACACTTCCTTCTCTAGCTCCCAGAGCCTCTGTTTCCCTATCTGTGCAGTGGGGAGGTTAGTTACTGATAATGTCCCTGTGGAGGTGTGGACTCTGCACAGGGCCATAAGCTGGAAGGGCAGGGTCACTCTGGTAAGAAGAGCATGTTCAACTGGGTGGCCAGTGTGCAGGACAGCTAGAACACTTGGGATGGGGGAGGACCACAGGAAAGGGGGTAGTTAAGCTACATGCTGGGGGCAGAATATGGGTCACCTCATAAAGAGATGGAAGAAGCAGGCCCCACGGAGGGCATGCTATGGTCAGTGGCTCAGACGATGCAAGGGCTGACGTTTGGGGCACTTGGGGGACACTTGGGAGCTTGGTCCTTTGCCAAGCACATCACAGGGTTATGTGACCTCTCCTGATCTTTGCCTTGACCCTCTGCAGTGTGCAGGGTGAGGTCAGCAGCTTTGTTTCACAGATGGAAAAGTACAACGCAAAGAGGGACAGGGATTAGAAGGGTCCGAGCAGGCCTGGAACCCCAGGCTTTGGTTGTAAGGCCTGCCATCTGCCCTATGCCAAGCCCTTCCCGGGGCCTCAGAGGACTCCCAGTTCCCACCCCGGCCTTCCTGGGGTTCCTGCCTCCTCCAGGCTCTGAGTGCCCAGACCCCTGGGTGCTCCTGACGTTGAAGGGTGGTGTGGGGCAGTAGGGGCAGCCAAGTGAGCTGGGTCCGAGTGCCACCTGCGTCCTGCCTTCCCTTCCTGTCACCTTGGCTCCTGTCCTGCCCACCTAGCCCGAGCATCTCCCTCCTGCTGGACCCCTCTTGGCCCTATCCCCTGCGTTCCCCGCAGCCTGGGGGAGCGCAGCCTCTCTGTCCATCTTTGTCCCCTCACTCAGTCCCCCCACATGTGGCTGCCGAGTTCAGGGCTCAAACCTTCATGGTATAAAATGGCTCCCCAGTCACAGGTGAAATTGAGGACAGGGTGGTAATTTTCAGATGCTTTGAGCCACCAAAGTGGGGACCTCCCAAGCCTGGTGTACGGGCAGCTGTTGCTTCATGGAAGGAGATCTGAAGGTCGTGCTGGGGGAGGGTGGGAGACTGCCCCATGACAGAGGCAACAGCACACCCAAGGGCCCTGGGGCAGGAGTTCCTGTGAGGCTGGAACAGGCCAAGAGGTATGAGGATGGAGAAGAGGGCTGGGGGCGGGGCAGAACAGGTGGGGGCCACGAGGGTGGGTGCAGACCAAGGTCAGAAACGATGAGCCGCTGCACGAGGAAGGGGTGAACCCTTGAGACCGTGAAGCCTCCACTCCAGGTTCAGGGCAGAGGCCACTGTACTGGAGTGCTGAGGATAAGGAAGAAGGAGGGAGGGACAGAGTGGAGTGGGCACAGCTCTGGTTCCTTGGAGAAAGTTCCAGGTGTTGTCTGGAGATGGCGCCCATTGGAATTACCTGGGGTTCCCCATTCTGGGCAGATCAGCAGGCTGCATACCCCACAAGCTGCTGGAGGGTCTTGGGGCTCTTAGGCCTGGACCCACTGCTCACACATTAGGCTTCTCAGCCCAGCAAGCTCAGAGATTCTGGCCTTACACTGCCCAGGTCTCCCTGAGGCTCTGAGGCCTGTAGAAAGCCCTCCTCCATAAACCAGACCAGCAGTTAGGGCCCTGGGCCAGGGAGGCCCCTCCTGCCACCCCCAAGTCTCCTCCAGCTCCTGGGGATTCTCGCTGGAGAGCAGACAGCACTGTGAGATGGAACGGTGGTCACCACAGAGCTGTGATGGATCCCCAGAGCTCCAGGAAGCATCGCAGCTGGGGAAACTGGGGCCTGGGCATCCAGTCTGTTCATTCAGGTCTGCAACCCCCATTGTTGCTGCCCTCAAAGATCCTCGTATTTCTCACTCGCTTGCATTTACTATGCACTAACTCTGAGCCAGGTTCCAGTCCAGGAGCTGGGGATGCAGCCAGATGGAACTGACCATCCTACTGGCTTGGTGTGGCCTGCATCAGGTGGCTTTGAGGCCCTCGGGTCTGCAGAGTTCAGAGGATTCCTTCTAGCCTGGCACTACAGCTCCATGTGTATCTGCATAAGCCCTGAGTCTCTTACTTACAAGGCCAAGGCTGGGTAGCAGGCACCCACCAACTGCTGACACCAGCTGCTCCAGGAAGGCTTCCTTCAGGTCATCTCTTTAGTGAGGACATGAGGGGTCCTGAAGCTAATAGACAGCAGAGCTAGGGCTTAAGTCCAGACCCCTTCCAGGATTCTGCCCACACCCCTCTCTCTGCCTCTGGGTGAAGATACTGCTACACTGACCCAGCATCCTGGGTGCTATGATCCTCAGGGTCCAGGAGTATCTCACTGTCCTGCTCTGTGACTCTTACCTTGTCATTCTGATGATTGCCTTCAGCTTTGCTCTGGTATTCTCCAGCAACATTAACATTTTAATATCCAGCTTTGCTTAGGACTTTCCAACTCTTAATCTTCTGTGAGTGTGGCCCTCGGCAAATCTATGGAAAGACACTGGACTCAGAATGCATAGCCAGGCTCCCAGCTGGACCCCTCTGCCTCCCAACTGGACCCCTCTGCCTCCCTCTGAAGCCACATGAGCTGCTCCGGTCTCCAGGGTCTCTCCAAACTCGAGCTGATGGTGGTCACATAATGTTATTAGCCGTTTCAATGGGAATTAAGACAATTTTATCAGGACATAAACTCCTGCTGATTTAGGAGCCACAGTGAATCATGGCCTCTAGAGCTGAGGAGGCCTCAGATCTCTAGCTGAGCCTGATGGTGTCCACCCAAGGATGGCGCTGGCCACAGCTACAAAGTGACTCATCCTCTGCTCCTGTGGACAGGAGGCGCTGTCTTTCCCGGGCAGTGCTGGCCTGTGTTACCTGCAGCAGGCCTGGCAATTTGGGCTCTAGGCTCCCCTTCCTTCCCTGCCTGAGCCCTCAAGTCCCCACTCCCCTCTGCTTCAGGACATCTGAATGTGCACCTCTGGGAACTCCTCTGGAGAACAAAGCTGCATTCTGACCCCAAGCCCCAGGGAAGGATCCTTATAACACTCTGAGCTCTGGGTATAGAGGCAGTGTCACCCACCAGTGAGACCACAGGCTTTGGGTGATTCTGGTTTCCAGCACAGTCTCTGCTACGTCCTTGCTGAGAGACCTTGGGCAAGTTACTTAGCCTCTCAGGGCCTCATTGTTTTCCCCTTTTCAAAATGAGCATACTGACTGCGGCAAATTTTTGCAAAGTCTTGACTAAAAAAAGCAGCCAAAGGCAGATTCTGAAGCAACTGAGATGGATGCAGGGGACACTTCTAAGGCTGGGGACTAAACACAGGGCCTCTGTGTCTCAGACTGTCTGCAGCATGGACACTGTGGCAGTTTCTGCTGTGGGGTTCCAGGAGTCAAATGTGTTAAGTGTCTGGTGCACAGTGAACCTGCCGTGAATGCTAAGCACCATTGCTATTGTTGGTATTACCCTTCTGCTTGTAGGCAAACGTCCCATCTCATCTTTCCACATCAAGCCCCTGACACAGTAAGGGCCTGACTCTCAGCACAGCAAAAGAGCACGGACTTGGGAACAATTGCCCAGGTTCAAAGCCCAGGTCCACCACCCCTGAGTTGTATGATTTTGAATGAGTTTCTAAACCTCTCAGCATTTCAAGGTCTTCATCTGTAAAATAGAGGGGTGCCAGCATGGTGCCTGGCTCACTGTGATCACCAAATTAGTGCTGGTTTTTATTATTCTCAGCCCCCAGGGAGCGTTGCATCAAGGGGCCCCCAATGCCTTCCTTTTCTGCCACCACTGCATTTACAGACAAAGAAACTGAGGCCAAAGGCACTAAATTAAACGTTTGGGAACAAGACATTATATGACCATGCTAAATTATGCAGGGCAGACAATTAGAGAACAAAATGATCTGTAATAAAGAGCTAATTGGGTAGGACAGAGGCTAAGTGTCCCAGGAGCCAGAGACGAGGACAGAAAAAGCAGCCTGAGATTAGGATGGCCTGGCCAGGGCCCTTGTTAATAACAGTGAGATTTCTTTTACTATGAGTAATGCACACTCTTGGAAAGCAGGATGTATATAAATCACCAGCGCCTCACTTTCCAAAGACAATGGCTGTTGAAGTATCAAAGCCTTTCCATTCTTTTTATATTCACATACAAGCCTATATTCTCATACTTGATTTCCCATGGTGTGACCCTTCCGCTGTCCTCATTTTCCCCATTGGTGGGGAGGGATCCCCCACCCCAAATATTAAGAAATGGTCAAACTCCCAACACCTGACATTGGACAGGGGAGACTGATCAGGTTTATTAGTCACTCGTGGCCACAGAAGGCTCAAACTCAGGTGAGCAGGCCAGCAGGCACCTGAGAGTAAGCCTTGTAGTGACTAGAGGGCGAGGACCCCCTGGTTCCTGTGCAGGATGGGACTGGTTTCCACATAGGGTAGGTAGGTAGTTGAAGCCTATCAGGAGGGGATCAGGTGGCACCGATCTGGCCTGGCCAAGAGGGGAAGCAGCTGGGGGTAGGGGTGTAGGGGTGGCTATCTGGTAGAGAGAGGGGAACTCCCAGACTGTGAGGTCCCAAGAGGCTGAACGATACCAAGGCAGCACGTGACATTTTAGGGCTTACAACACAAATACAGAATAGCTGGAATTTGATCCCATGAATTTCCTACTTTCCAGAAACAGAAAGGTGATTTCTTGCTCTAGTCCCATGTCTATTGGTCAGCAGGGAGCGCCTGGTTTATCACAGACACTCAGGGATTCTTACTGATAGAGCTGCACCCATCTGCCAGGCTGCTTCTTTGCTCCCCCTCCGGTGCCCATTCTCCACACGGCCACTAGGGGGAACTTTGGAAGCATGTGTTGGCTTCCTGTGGCATCTCCGATGATGTCTGGAATGCTCTCTGTGTCTGGCCTGGAATCCAGCGCAGTCTGGTTCCATCCACCTGGGCAGCCTAGGCCCCTGTCTTGGTTCCCCGCAACTCACAATGATCTGGTCTCATGCTTGCCAGTTTTTCCACCTTTATACTACTGAGCCTTTGCACGTGTTGCTCCTTCTGCCTAGAGCATCCTCCACGCTTTCAGCTGATGGCCTCCCCACCTCCTCTAGGTCTCCTCTAGGAAGCCCACCAGCCCTCCCCCAGCAGGGGAAGTCCCCTCCGCCCTCACTGTATTGTATCTGTCTTTCTGTACAGCTATTGCTTCAATGACAGATGCCCTACTTGACTGGAAACACTGGGCACAGACTGTGTCTGCCTTAGTTACCCACACATGGCACAAGCTCTGCATTTAGTGTGGTCAGGTGCTTATATAGGAGACCTGACTCCTTTGGCTGCTTGGACCATTTGGATGGAATCAGAGGCCATGACCCATCTCCAGATGGCCTGGAGATGGCCTGGCAGGGAGAGTGGGGCACCAAATACAGATGGTGAGCAGTGCGGCCACCTAGTACATACCTCACCGATGGGGGGGGGGCGAGGCTAGGGGAAGAAGTCGCTCTGACTTCAGTCTCCCCTTCTCCTTCCAGGGCGTTTGGAGCCTATTTGGTGCCACCCCCTGCATAGTCAAAACCTGCACCTCTGCTTATAACTCCCCCTACAGAAGGTTCTAAGCATGCCTGGTTTTGCACCAAATGACCTTTGAATTTTTGCTGGTGTTGGCCCCATTTTCTTGGGCAGAGAGTGTTCTTTGGAGCCTGGGGTCCCCAGGATGAACGGGAAAATAATAGTAAGAATCCTCTGCATATCCCAGGAAGGTAATGAGGATGCTCCCTTATGAAGTGAAGGCACTCTCAGCTGGAAAGTCAGTTGGCGGGGCGACTGGCTCACATCTTCTCCCTGGAATCACCCTCCTTTCTCCTCACTGATTCCTCCTCCTCTGCACAGTGCCTTGGTTCCCCTTATTCTTCTTGCTTAACTAGGAGACAACATTTTCTTGGCAACACGATTTTCATAAAGATCCTCCAGGGAAAAGCAGAGCAGAAGCACAGGCGAACTGACAGTGAACCTGCAACTGCAGGCACCAAAGAAACCACTTCTAATGGTGAGAAGTGTATAGAGGGCAGAACTCCACTAAGAGCAGTTACAGCAGAGAGGAGGCCCGAGGCCCACCCCACCTTGCCGCATCTGTGCTCCTCGCTCCTCCTTATCCCTCTTGTGGTTCCCAGTATCCCCTCCACCCCCAGCCCCAAGCTTCACACTGAACCTTACAAAGTTAATAGACATGATTGCAATGATTACTAAGTAGCATAGTATTGTGTGTTCCAGATGTGGAGTCACACACTTTACATAGAAAGTTAATAGTCATAATAGCAACACGCTACAATGTAACATTAAATATACTTTATTTATACTAAGTAACTTTTCCATTCAATCAAAATAACATTTACTCATTCCCCTTATTTTCTCCATTCATGGGACATTTATGAAACCCTACCATAGTCAAGAGTATTATTCCTCAGCTTTTCCACACTACAGTGAAATTCATGATGTGGGCTACTTATGAGGAAAAGGTTTCATTCAGCTGATAGCTTTGGAGGCTGAAAGTTCAGACAGCACTGAGCACGGTGTAGCACTGGCCTAAGGCAGAGGACAAAGTGTGTATTGAAAGAAGCATCACATCTTGAACCAGGAAGCAGAGAGGGGAGAGGGGCCTGGCTTGCTTCATTTTTGTCTCTTTAGGGCACTTGCCCCAACCACAGTAACCTGAGAACCTCCCACTAGGCCTCACCTCTCAATGTTTCTACCACCTCCCAGTACACCACCCTGGGGACAGAGGCCTTCATGCATGTAGCATTGGGAGACTCACAAACTGTACCCAAATCATACCATCACGACAATGCTGGAAAGCTGACCTGAATTTATTGAGCAGTTATTATATGCCAACCACCAGGATTTCAGTTTCTCCTTACAATGAGCCTCTTCTTGCAGCCAAGGAAGCCAGGCTCCCGACTCTACAGTACAATCACATTGCCTGTGCTCCGGGTCTTTTGGTCAGTGACATCTTTATTCATCTCTGTCTCCCAGTAAGGAGTTCCTCATGGGGGATGAAGTGGTGCAGTCTAAGCAGTGTTACTACAGCTGCAGTTCCTGTGACAGTCACAGTGACCACCGTGCCCTCAGCTGCAGCTGCCCTTCACTTCAGAGACTACCATATGATCTCTGAGCTGAGCATCGACGATGGCCCTCAGCACATGTCAGCTACACAGGGGAGGAGTTGCATGGCCACAGATGCAGGGAAGCTAAGAGGGAACCTAGAGGGGCACAGGCTGGACTGCTGGGGTCCCTGATCCAGCCTGAGCCAATCTCTGGTCCCTTAAGTTCCCCAAGACACCCTTGGAGCCAGTACCCTCCCCCACCCCACTTTCTCTGCTTAAACCAGACAAAGTGTTTTCCTGTTACTTACAAGGAGCCTTGATTTGGTGCCAAGGAAACCTGTTTATTTTTAAAATCTGCATAAAGCTCCATTTCTAACAATGAGCATCTCTTTCTCA